TCCTCACATTTTCACCCCAACCGTAAAAAAAAAGAAAGGAAAACCGCGATCCTTATTGGCATTTATTTTATGTGCTCGTTAAGTGGCAGGCATTTTAGCCAGAAAGAAATAATGTAAAAAATTAGGCAAAAAAAACGTAAAAGAAATGAAAATGTAAAGAAAAACGTTGCTTTAATTGAGAGAGAGAGAGAGCGGCCCAGTGGGGTCGTAAGAACCTGTGAAGGGGGAAGCTAATCATGTAAATTTTTAAAGCAAAATTACTAAAGAGCTGGGAATGGGAAAATATATAAGAAAATCTCATATTTACTTCTTAATTTTAAGCAATATTTAACTTAAACACTTTTTAAAACATTTTTAATCTTTTTAACTTACTTAAAAATAACTCCTTTTTTTGATAATTTTTGAACTCCATTAACTCGATTTTGTTTGGTCTTTGGAAAAAGTTAAACATGATTTGACCTAAGCAAAAGCTGATTCTAAAATGGAATTACAACCTTCCTAACCCTCCACCCCTTCGGACTGTTTTGGCCCCAAAAACTTGCCAAGGTTTTCCTGTTTTCAAAAACATAATTTCCTCAACACAAACACACAAACACACATAAAGGGCAGGGAAAAAATGCTTTCCATACAAAATGTGGAAGCCAAAAAGTTGCACAAAATTGCCAAAGTTTTGTTTGCTTATGCATTGCCTTTTGCACTGCCCTTGTCAACCGGTGGACACCAGCCCCTTAAGCCTCACCAACCAACCCCGCCCCCTTTATATACCCCCTGAAAAACCTAAAAAACAAAATTCCCCTAATTTTGAGTTACCCTGCTAAAAAAAAAGAGCGGGGGGAACAAATTATGTCAGCAGAACGAACGAACGGACGGGTGTGTAAATTATTTATGTGCCAACCAACTGTCCTTCCCCAACAGACTGCTTCGTCTTCTTCTTCTTGTTGCGGCACGCATGGGTTAAGCCTGACGCCCTTAACCCCCTTCTATCTATGCTCCTCTTTTACTGCTCCTATATTGCTCCTTTGTGCCAGGTTATAAATAAAAATCATTATTACTCGACTTCTGGGTGAGAGATTAGGCCTTAGATTGCTGGAAAATATATATCAAATTTATGTTATTAACTTGTTATAAATATAGTTAATATAGTTGTTATTAAACGTGTCAGTTAATAAAATATCAAGTTACAAAATTAAAGATAATAAACAGGAATTAGAATTAGAAATTAGATTGAATTTTGTAGATTTTTCCGATAATTTTTATAAAAATATTTATTGTTGTTAAAAGGAATCTTTCTGTATGATCTTAATTTGAAAATTTAAAAGTTAAATTCCATCAAGATCAAGAAATTACAAAAGTCGGTATTTTTTATTTTATTTTTTTATTTTCAGATTAAGCAATCAAACTTTAAACTTACAAACTTCCAAATCTTTAATATTCCGTGTTTATTTTAGTAATTTTGTAATATTTTTTAAGGCTAGAAAAATATATATTTAAGAGAAAAGAAATAAAGCACAAAAATATAAATTTTTCTAATAAAAATAACAAACAAAAATGTCTAGAAAATTGACTTAAAATCTTTATAAATTTTAAAATCAAAGTTTAAATTTCGAATTTTCAATATTTAATATTCTGTGTTTATTTCCGTATTTTTGATACATTTTTGTAAGGCTAGGAAAATATATTTTTTGAAGAGAAAATAAATAAAGGTCAAAAATCAAAAGTTTTCTAATAAAAATAATAAAAAAAAATTAATCTTTCATATTCAGAAAGTGATTTTAAAATATTTTCAAACTCTTTAATGAAACTTCAAATTCAGAAAACTTAAAATTCAAAAATCTGTGTTTATTTCAGTATTTTGAATAAGTTTTTGTATAGCTAAAAAATATATATATTTAACAGAAAATAAATAAAAGTCTAAAAAGGAAAAGAAAGAAGGATTTTTCCTATAAAACAAAAATAACATAAAAAGCACTTTTAAGATGAAGAAAGTTTGAACCAAAATATTCTTAAAAAGATCAGAAAAATTAAATCTCCAATATAGAACATTTCAAATTCGTTAATTCCTTAACTATTTTCGATGAAAATTCTTGTTGACCTTTTTTATATTTTTTGTGTTTTCTTTTCCGCTTCGCTTTCAGCTGGCCAGGTTGAAGTTTTCGTTTGAAATTAGTACGCATTGTCCTTAATTGTTGGGGCGTTTGTACAGAGGGGGTGGGGGCTGGAATTTTATGGTCTTTTCAGAAGGGGGTTCAACAGTATAGTATATATATATATATATATTTAAGTATATATATAGAGAGAGACAGAGAAAGAGGAAGTATATACTGACTTTTGGTTTGGCCAAGAGCCATTGACTTGGCTCCCTGCTGCGTGTTTATTTATTTGACTTGTGCATGTCGCTTTTGGGTGTTAACTTTAATAATTAACGGCATTAATTGCCGCATATGTCACATGTTTGCTTTGCCTCCACAAACCCACCCCCCCTCAAACCCCCCGAAACCTTAACCGCATTTTGCCCGGAGGGGCGGCCCCTCTGCATTTGTCTTCGTTTTGTTTTTATAGAACTTCCTCTACCTCCCCCTCGCTCTCTTTGGGTTTCTGTTTTCTTTTTACCTACCACCCAGCCCACTCCTTCCTTTGAAATATTTAAACGCTTATGTCATTCGCCTCGTATATATCCCTTGTTTAACCATCCATCTGCCCCCCTTTTTCCACCTTTCAACTGCATAATTCATAAATGGGCTAAATGGAAAATTATGCATTTGTAGGTCTTTAATTGACTGGGCTGTATGGGCCACTTTGAGGGTGTTCTATATACTCTTCTATATATATAATTTCAAAGCCAATTTGAATCGATATTTTGAGTTTTTAACTAGCTTGGCTAAGTAAGTTTAAGCCAGCAAACCAAGCCAAAGACGACCACCCAAAACTTAGAGTTTAACCATGGCATAAGCATATCTTAAGAGACTTTTGTTTAGTTTTTTCCTTTATCTAAACATTGATATTTATTAATCGAGGTTCATTAGAGACGGCAATAAAACCGGTAAGAAAAAAAAAACAAAACCTCGATTGATGTTTTGTTTATCGTTCAGATGCGAGTTTGGTTTTCAAAATGCTTTGCTGCTCCTCCTAATGAGAACTAATGAATGCGTTGGAGTTGAAGTTGAAGTTGTAGATTAAGATGGAGTTTTGGGTCTCTCAGCCACCGGTTTTCTTCTTTATTATTATTATTATTTGTATTTTATGCGATGCGGCAAAAGGTAGGAGGTTGCACAACCCACACACACAGCAGATAAAAAGAAACCAAATCAAAAACTGGTTTTTGATCTCTGCTCTGATTCGTTTTGGTTTGAGGGGAATGACAAATGCATTTGAGATTAAGATCAGAGATCTTATCGTGGCTGCCAACTAATGGGCTTAAATGTGATGACAATAAATTGATTTCATGATTATGGGAATACGATTTTTGGAATTTATGGATGCTAATAATGCAATTTGAAGTCATTAAGATGGTAGAGATTGTCCCATTGGCATGTTATTAAGATATTAAAAGGTGAAGCCAAAGGAGATTAAGATAGCTCAAGTGGAAAATCTTCTTTAATTTTGAAAGCTCTAAACTAAGAATAGTTTATCTATCAGTGGGTTTAGAGAGAAGGTGGGAGGTTATTTTTATAATAATATTTTATTGGTTTTTAAATAAGCAGGAAGAAAGCCTTAATTTTCACACTCCCCCCCTGTGAGAGAGAGGAGGAGAGGAGGACATGAAAAAGAAAAACTTCTGAATGCTTTTCATGTTTTTTGCTTTCCCATTTTGTGGCTTCTGTAAAGTGTTTGCCACAGAACGCTTAAGGCGCTTATGGGTGGGGTGGCAAGCAAGTAAAAGTTCAAAAATCTCATTAAATACAACAATATAAACATGCAACAACAACAACAATATACTAAATATTTATGCTCGGCTGTAAAAAGTTCATTTTTTTTCTGTCTCTCTCTCTGTATGTGTATCGCATTTGGCTTTCCATATAAAAATTGTGTAAAATAATAAAAATAATTTGAACAACAACAAGAGACGGGGGAGGAGGCAATATACAGACACAAAAAGCATCGTACACCACGCATTCATGCAACACATTGTCGCCCCAGACGCCATTTTGGCTTTGTTGTTGCGTGTAATGGATGCCGTTATGTGCAGAAATGGAAGGAATCCAAAGAGGTGGGCGGTGAAAGGAGGGAGGGACAGGGATTGAAATCGAGTTTTGCGATTCGCCTTTTTGCATTACTTCGACTTGAATGCGTCCTGTGTGCAATGGTGGCCAATGCTGCACATTCATTCGCCCCTCGCGACCGTGTGGCATAAATATAATTATTTCGTTATAAAAATGCATTCCACAAAAGAGAGGAAAGTATAGGGAGGGGGTGGTGGCAAGAGGTGAATTCCTTTATGCGACACTTGTCCTCAAGCATTCCATTCGTCGTATACCGATAGGGAAAATGTTTATTGCCCCGACACAGAGAAGACCTCTCCGTTGGCTTTCCTTTTCTTAACTTTGTTTGCCTTTTTCTTTCTTTTCCTTCCTTTCTCTTTCTCTTTCCTTCCTTTTCCTTCCACACACCAAATCGAAATCCCTCTCAAGTGCTTTTTGGTCCTTTCTATGCGCTTCTCATAAATATTAGTTGGCTGGCAGGGAAATGAGAATTTCTTTGGGTTTACAAGGCTTAAGAGGTTTGCAAATTGAACTTTTTTTTGGGAATTGTTATTTATTTTTGATAGAGAAATCATTTAATATTTTAACTTCTTTGATTTATTATCATTTTATCTGCTTAAAATCTTAGCAATAAGCATAAATTTCCTAACAATTTGTCACTTAATTCCTTGCTTAACTAAGAAACTTTCAAAATACATACAAACACTGGTCTTAGTTTTACTTCTTAAACCGAAAAACATCCTCTACTCTCTACATAATTACCCGCATTAAACTATTTTTTCTACTTTCTTTTCATTGCAGTTTTTTAAAACTAAAAGGAATTCGATTTGTTAAAGGAATTTGCATCATATTTGTGGACAAGTAAGTGTAGTTTCTGGTATACAGGTAAATCCGACCAAGGATTACAGAACAGACAACTGTCATTGGCATTTACAAAGAAGACTGACCCACGCCTTAAGGAAACCTATCCTTAATCTTACTCCTGTTTTAGTTGCTTACGGAGAAAGAAAGAGGGGGGAGAAGAATGATAATGGGGTTATATGATATGAGATAAAATCTTGTCTTTAGTTAGTTCAGATCATTATATTTATGATATATTTTCATAGCAAATATTATCATAAATATATAAAATTTCTCATAATTTTGACTTTCTTCCAGTGCACTTGCCTTTCTTCACGTTTCCAGTCAACTGATTATAATAACACGATTTATCAAATGCACGTAAATTACAATAAATTAAACACGAAATTAATATTAATGACAAAGGCAGGCGCACATAGACAGAGTGTGTGTGTGGATGTGTGGGTGTAAATGAGGGTGGTAGTGTTGGGCCTGAACTGTAGATAAACGAAGACCCAACATGCAGGCAATATATATATTCTCGGTATATATCTGTTTTGTATATTTGTGCAGAGACAATTGCCAAATTAAGTGCATGCCTCTGTTCCAGCCACGCCCCATTTCACAGTCAGTCAGGGCCTTCCCTTTACATTTTCCAGAGCTTTCCTTCTCTCTCTTGTCTTGTCTCTCTCCCTCCCCCTACATGCCATCTTAAATATGAAAATCGTTCTTTTGATTGCAAATTTGCTTATTTGCATTGCATTTGCGAGGTACCCGCAGTTAATAAGCTTCGGACATAATAGTCCAAACAGAGAAGGAACACACACATGGTATACCTCCTCCTGCTGCCTGCCTGCCTGCCTGCCTGCCTGCCTGGACAGTGAAAGCCAACAAATGACCAAGCGATTGATCAGGACAAGCTAACTGAATGAGGCCTATAGGCGGCTTTTCATTCTGTACGAAGGAACAGGCTGAGGAAGAGCAGATGGAGGAGGAGAAGGTTGTGGGTCAGGAATTTCGGTTAGCAGGGAGAGAGGGGAGATGGTAAAACGCTTTATGGCTCCTCAGCTGATTGGAGATGTTGAAGTGAATTCCGAGTTAATTCTGTGATTGGGAAATGCTTAATATTCCAGTTAAGGATAAAGAGGAGATGAAAGTTAGAATTGTGATTTGTGAATGGGAAGGGTAATGAAAAGAGAAAGTTAGAAAACTGCTTTTGGGCAATTAGAACGGAAAGCCAGTCACTCTTTCAAGGATATAACACCTAATCAGACAGCCTAAAGGGAATATCCTGTTAATATTAGTTAATGATAAGCTTAATAGAGTGTTTATATCATTAACTTAACTCCTTTTGGAAATCAAGACTAAGTAGCAGTCACTGTTTGAAAACTAAAACTAAAAGCAAGTCACTGTTTCAGGGATATATGACTTAGTAAGACTCAAAGTTCACTCTAAAAGCAATAACCTAATAAGACAAGTTAATGATAAGTTAAATACAGTGTTTGTATCACCAACTAGCCAAGTAACACTCACTAAATGTCATCATTTTGATAAAGAACGATTACTGTTTGAAAACGAAAACTAAAAACCAGTCACTGTTTCAGGGATAAATTACTTATTAAGACTAAAATTTCACTTTAAAAGCAATAAACTAATAATATTAGTTAATAATAAGTTAAATATAGGACTTATATCACTAACTATATCACCAACTAGCCAAGTAACACTCACTAAAAGTCACAATTTTGATAATCTGTGATTTTGTAAGCTTGTATAGACCCAGCCATCCCCGGCAGCTCATCCTTAATTGCGATTGTTGCAAGGACTTGCAAAATTTTGCATATTTGATGAGCCGCCTGGCGCTCTCTCGCTATGGCCTGCATATGCATATGTATATGTATATCTGCATCTGTATGTATACATAGCTACATACTATATTGTACATACATATGTACAGTTTTCATGTTTGTTTGTATGGCAAGTCTCGGGGTCTTTCGATATCACAGACAGACAGAGAGACGTTCGTACCTGGCCCTGTTGAGTTGCAATTTGGCTAACAAATTATGCAACAGCAACAGTGGCAATAACAACAACAACAAAGCGGCACTACTGACCCAACTACACTGTGGTGAAAAGGGGGGTATGTACGAATGGGGGGGATAAGAGAGAGGGTGAATGATAGTCCGCGTTGACTTTATGGCCAGTCCGTCGGGTAGGCTCATCCGTCCGGCGGCCCTGTTAAATAATTGTAATTTATGGCATTTTACACAAATAAATATATGGAAATCAATAAATTTACCTCACACACACACATCTCCTCTCTCTATCTATCTTTCGGTTTCCCTATACTTTCTGTCTCTTTCATATACTACTTACAAAGACTTTCCCCATGGAGTTGGGCTTCGGTTTTTGGTTTTTGGTGCATTGCAAATTGCTTTTTGCCCTCCATTTCTCTCTCTCTATCTCTTTGCTTGTTTATTGTTATTTGTGGAGTTTAACAATTATTTTATGTTGTCACAATTTAAAAAGCTATGAGTGAGTGTGTATGAAAGAGTGATAGAGGGGCGTGGGGGAGAGATAGGCGGTAACAGCATGAGAAATTAATTTTTTCCTTATGCTTTTTCATTTTTCAATCATTGCATTTTGACTTTTCTGTGTGTGTTGTTTTTGCTTTTTTTCTTTTTCATTTTCAAATATTTATATGTGGACAATATTTTGCATTTCAATTGCGGTTTTTTGGTGGCCAGCACACACGCACACACAGGCAGCCTGATGTGGCAGACACACACACACATAAAGACTATAATAACTCTGTCAATTTGACTGGTTTTTCTGTTCTTGTTTTTTTTTCTGGTTGTTCGGGTGATTTTACAAGAGGAACGACGTTACACATTTTGTTCAATTTGCATGGCCTGCTGGCTGTTGGCTTTCGAAAGTTTTGATTTATGGAATAAATTCCAGGGCAGTTGCAGGAATGAGCATTCCTTTTTAATGAGTTTGTTGGCTGTGAAAGGTGTTAAAATGTATAAAAGTAATATTTTTGGTTATTTACAAATATTTTTAAGTCTTAAGTTTAGTAAACTTGGAGAATTTTAAGTCTTTGTCAATCATTTAAGGCATTTTAAGGGTGACCAGCTCTTAAATTGGTTATTCAAATGTGACCAGATGGAAATGCAACACAAATTAGTTAGGTTTAAGAGTATATATGGTAAGAAATCTATTCAAAATCCATCCTTTGAAGCCTTTTCTATGTTGCTTTTATATTTTAATAATTCATTTAATGTATTGTAAGTGTGACCTTCGCTTAAACAGGTCATTTAAATGTAACCAGACTCAAATTCGATATTAATTCTCTGTCTCTAAAGTAAGAAAAGCTATAAAATATAGTGTAAAAGCAAATATTAAACGAAATGAAGAGTAAATTCTATTTAGTTTTGGCATTTTTAACAAAAATTTTAACTGTTCAGTAGGGCCATCTCTTAAAAAGGGCTATTACACATGCACCAGACTCGGCGACAACACACTTTTGCAGACCTTAGAGTAAATATTCTGAAAAAGCCTTTCAAGCATTCTATAATTGGAATAAAAAGTAAATTCCGCTTAACTTGTGCATAATAATCTGTGATTTTTGTCTATTTTAAGTGTGACCATCACTTAAACAGGTCATTTAATTGTAACCAGACTCAAATACAAGTCGAATTGTCTGTCTTTTAGAGTAAATGTTTTAAAAACACTCTAAAATCAAATTTTAAACTTTTGAATAGAAAGTAAATTGCATTTAACTTTTTATCAAATATTTGACCTATTAAGTGTGACCAAACTTTTTAAATGTCATTAAAATGTAACCAGACTCAACTACAACACACACTCGCAGACCTCTTACAGTAAATAATCTAAGAACAAAGCCTTTCAACCATTCTAAAAAAGAAACAATGACTAAACTCCGCCTAACTGCTGAATAATAATCAATAATTTTGTCGATTTCAAGTGTGACCATCCCTTAAACAGACCATTCAAACGTAACCATCCTCAACTACAACACACACACACGCTAACCTTACAGTAGATAATCTATAAAAAACACTTAAAAATCAAGCATTTTAAACCTTTTAGCTTTCTCTAAATGAAATGAAGAGTAAATTCCATCTAACCAGATCCAATTTGCATAGTTTTTGTTATTTTAACCTGAAAAGCCAATATAACTTTATTCCAACTTTATTTTTTGTTGCCTTGTTGCCTTGTTGCTGTTGCTGTTATTGTTGCTTTTCTATTAAGCCCAGCGTAGTGGGCAAAAAAAATTGAAATTGACTCGCAGCTTCAACACGACAAATCAATTTCGTTTTTGATTTGGATATCTCAAAGCTCTTAATTTAGTCGATTTGATTTGAATTCCGATGGAATTTCCATTCTACTACTACTGTATATTGGTTAATGAAAAAAATCTACTTTTCTCTTTCCTTCTTTCCTATTTTTTTGTGCAAAACTAATTTTGTAAATTGCCCTCGTTGAATTTTAATTCAATTTTCCTTTGCATATGCCAGAGGAACATACAAAAAAAAAAAAAAATGATATGAACAGAGTGAAAAAATATATATCTATATAGATATATATATATATATCATAAATATGTTTGCTTATGACTGGGCCGATGTGGCCCCCAGAAAAATGTATAAAAATTTTTATGTTGTGTTGATTTTTGTTTGGCTTTCCACATTTTTTGTTTGTTTGCTTGCTGGCTTTGCTTTTTCCCCTCGTTTTGGTTGTTTTTTTTTATGTCGTTTCCTTTTTATTTTGTCATATTGAAAAATCGAAATTAATTAAATTGTGTCAAAGTTATTAAATTTTATTGTCATTTGCCATATAAATAAACAAATGTCGTGCGCAATACGCTCTAAGCCTATAAACAGCAACAGCAACAGCAACAGCAACAACAACACAAACTCTTTCAATTAGAATTTATAGAAATTTATGATTGTTTATTTGTAATATTTTCCTTGTTAGTTTTCTTTTTTTTCTTTCTG